CCTCGGGCATGACTATGATCTTGATCGGCCCCAGGCTTGATGATGATCTTGATCGGCCTGATGATCTTGATCGACCTCGGGCTTGATGATGATCTTGATCAGCCCCTAGCTTGATGATGATCTTGATCGACCTTGGACTTGATGATCTCGATTGGCTAGGCCTTTGATCCCATAGAGGATGAAGGATTTTGATCCTCTACAGGATGGGATGGAGGATTTTGATCCTTTCCAAGATTGAGGATTTTGATCCTTTCAAAGATCAATTAGATGGTGAATGAACCTCTCTATTTATATGGTCTTTCATGGACTTTAGGTGGACTTGGACCCATCTAATTACAAATCATTGCCACGTGGCACAATCCCAGCTCACCAAATAGACATGCCAAAATTTGATTGGACCAATTTATATGTCATATGTGGCACAATCTTATTAGATAAACATATGTCATCATATGGTTATAACATAATTTGATTGGTCGAATTCAAATGCCAAAAATAATATGTGATATTATTTAATTGACCTCAATTTAATCACATATAATTTTGTCATTATAATTACGTGACAATTTTTTATTTGCCAAAATTTATCGGTCAACAACTTGTATTTCATTTACTCATATTGGATAACTCGAGTTAGAACTAGGGGTATTTTATTACACTGTTTTCCCAACACAAGCAACAATTTAACCGCTACGTCATTTTAATGTTAGTCAATTATGGTAAAAGGAGACCCCAGGGACCAAAAGGAGAACAATATCTCAAACTAATTTATCAAACCTCACGGACCAAAAGTAGACCCCTATTTCAAACTTTAGAGGCCAAAAGTGTATCCTGTCTTGTTATGGGTAAAGTAAAGTAAGACTAAACTTCAACAAACCAAATCCGGATATCAAGCAGGAACTCACAACCTCTCGATTGGAGGTATACATCAATTACTATTGAACTATACTCGCTTTGGCGAACGATACTCAATTTATTATTTACTATTTTGTTCAAAATAATTATTTAATTCTTAAAATTTAATATTAGTAGTTTTATCTCAATGGTTCAGAACTGTTTCAAAACCTTATTCCAATAATAAATATCCAAGTAGGAAATTCACAAACTTTATTGCTCTAATGTCTGAAGGCTCTTAACAAACTCTCTCCATCATTGGATAATAAATTTATTTCTTTGCATTTTTTATTTTGCTTAAATAAATACAACATATTTTTTAAGAACCATTCTTTCAAATATTTTACAAAATTGAGATAATATTTCAAAATAGTTACTAAATAAGGAAGCTTTCCAAAATACAAAAGAAACGCTAAACATTATTTAAGTGTTAAAAGTGTTTCAATTATATCCTTCACTTAATGAAAACTAAAATKTGTTGTTGATAAACTTACATCATGATATGATACATGGTAAATTAGAAAAAAAAACATATAAAGTTCCTAAAAAAAACATGTCTAAAACTTTAGAGACTACAATAAAATATGTATGAAAATTGAAAATCTACCTTACTAGGTAGGTCTATAATTTAATTTTTTTAATTGGCTAATAATTTTTTCCAATTCACTTGGAAGTGTCGCTAATTTTAACATTCATGGACATGGATTTCGGCTCAATTAAAATGTTTTAAACAAAAATTGTACTAAATTACAAAAAACAACACCTAAAATTTGGGACGTACAATATTAATAAAAAAAATTTAATAGTATATAGTTTCATATCAGTAACAATGTGCTAATTGAATACGTAACAATACTAAAATTTTAGAAGAAGCCAAACAAGAGCCTTGTTTGTCACGTGACGGCTTCCCCAGAAGCCCTCTGCTTTTTGTCAGAATTTCGGCTTATACATTAATCATTATCCTAACTTTTCTTCTTTATATCTTTCGATAAGAAAATAACGAAAAGAAAAAAAAACAAACGAAAAACAGAAAGGCTTGAATTTAACATTTACTAAGAAACAAAATATAATGTGTCAGAATTCATCATTATCGATTAATGGAGTGTCGATTTTCGTTTTGGAATTGACAAAAAGTAATTTGTGTCTTATCCTGCAATCATTAAAAAAAAATGAAAAATTAGTTCCAATGAGTTCCATTCCTGGATATACATATTTTTTTATATTTAAGTCCTTAATTTATTATTTAGACATCATAGTTTAAAAGGTGTTACTTTTAGTTTATATGTTAACATCTTTTGATTCAATCTCTAATTGTTGGTGAATATCAAAATTAGCTGATAATAAACTTACTTAGATAATACTTAGTGAATTGACGATAATTTAGAGAAAAAATGTCATCTAAAATGAAAAAATTCAAAATTTCTAACAATTTCTCATAAGTTTAGAAGAAATAGAAGCTTTTCTCCTAACATTTTTTTTCCTCTCTATGTCGGTTGAGTAAATTTTATGTCATGTAAGTTTAAATTAATTTTAACATACACTACTCGTGAAGAACAAAATTTAAAAAAATGTTAAAATACAATATATTAAATTGAAACTGGACTAAAAAACAGCCTAAAACATGATCTGCCAAAAAAATATATTTAGCCTTTTTACTTTTTTACTTTTTTTTGTTAAATTTATACTATGAATTTAATCTTTTAGGAAATGAATACTCTTCACAATTTGTCACATCAAAAACAAACCCAATTTAATTTTTTAGGAAATGAATACTCTTCGCAATTTGTCACATAAAAAACAAACCTACCGCACCAACTCTCCGTCGGTGATATTAAGATAGAGTAAATTAAAAGCGTAGTTCAAAATTTAAAAGTAAAAGATGAAACAGTTACAATTTTTGATTTAGTTTTGATTCTGATTTTGATTTATCCAAAAAAAAATAATAATAATAAAAGAAAAAAAAGGAAGAAAAAGAAAAATAAAAAGAAAAATAAAAATAAAATAATAAAAAGAGCCAACGACAAGTTGTTATAAATAAGCCCTTTTAGAAAGAAAATCCTCTTTTAGAAAGGATTTCCCAAATCCATATCCTATCTATTTATTTATTTATTTATATTTTGTCAAATGTGATGCCTTCCTTTTCTAACCATGCCAATCCGATGAACAATCAATTTTGGACACTTCGTACAAAAAATATTTGGTGGATTTTATTTTTATTTTTTGAGTTCAAATCTGGTTGGCAATTATTGGGTGGATTTTATTTTAAATATTTCATACATCTAAAAGTTTTAATTAAAAGAAGGTTCTACATTCTTTTTCGTTTTTATTATAAAATAAGAGACAAAACAAGATCATTTTTTCACTTAATTAAAAAAGAAAAAAAGAGAGAAAGAGAAGAAAGATGAACTCGTTTGTTTTTATTAGGAAAAAAAAAGAATAAGCTTGTTTGTTACTATATTATTTCTATTTATGTTTTTAATATTTTTTTAGTACAATATAGATAGTGTGATTGAACTCTCAATTTTTCGGTAAAAATAGGTGCCTAGCTAATAAAACCATATTATGAACTTTAATAGGTATTTGTCACTATTTCATTTTATATTTTACTATATGTTTTTTTAAAATTTAAAATTAGGCCCTATTTAGTAATGATTTATTTGTTTCTATTTCTTGGATTCTCTCTTCAACCTAAAGAATGCATGGACAGAGGTACAAAATACAAATAGAAGTCCCACAAAATAGACTATAAAACAATAAAGAAACCACCAGAAACCTATTTCCAAACAGGCCAAAAAAAAAAGAATAATAATATTCTAAGAATCTATCCTACTCCCAAAGTCTTCATTAAAATAGAAATCACATATTTACTTGGTTTATATAATTCTAATAAAACAATAAAACATAGATGTCAAAATAATTAGTTAAATTGTAATAAAATGAAATATCTAATATTAAATAATTCCGGTAAACGAGAAGAAAGGGAAGCGATTGGGAGCCCTAGAAAGGGGAGGCGGCGGCAATGGAAATGCCATAAACGGCGAAATCAAATACGATTTCTGAATTGGAAAAAGGAGAAAATGGAAAGAAAAAAAAAGAATAGAACCTGAGAGAGCGTTGAGTCCATTGAAGCAGGTTTTGACGAAGGAGGTGGCGCTACCATTGGCGGAGCTTTGTTGGAGTTCGACGTCGTCGTTTTGCTTCTCTTCTATTAAGAGCGGCGCATCCATGGAAGTGGATGGAGGAGGAAGAAGAAGAAGCTGAAATAATAATTAAGGGAAAGGAAATTATCTGAGCCAATGACTCTGCAATTAATCTGCTGGAAATTGTGCGGTATTTAAGGACAACGCAGCCCCAAGTCAATAGGGAATGGGAAATTACTGTCTTCAAGGACAAGGAAAAAGCAAGGTGAATTAGAAAAACGATTTCCACCGGGGGTCATATTGGGAAATGCACTCTAGTGGTCCATTATATATTTATATAATAGATTTCTTTATAAAGTTTGTTATCGAGCTAAAACAATTAGCTTTAGGTTTTACTTTTTGAGAAGGTTAAAAAACAAGTTTGGTGGTAATTAGTTTTAGGTTTTACCTTTTCAGAAAGTAAAAAAAGCACATTTCGCGGTTATAATTACTTTCACTAAAGTTAAAAACTAACAATTTAGTATATGAATTTTAGTTTGTAACAATTTAGTATTTGTATTTCAAATTGGTAATAAGTTGTTATAGTTTAAAATTTGTAACAAGTCCCTAAGGTGAAAAATATAATCAAAATTCAGTGTTAATTTGTTTAATATAAGAATTTAGTCTCTATAATTCATAAATGCATTTGGATCCTTATAGATTTATCGATCTACATATATAATAAACCTAATAAAGAAATTTTATAAGAGAAACTAAATTGTTGCAAATATTTAAAATTAGAGAGACTAAATTACGCATTAAAAGTACACTGGCTAAATTGTTCCTTCAATGATAGTACATATATTAAATGTATTTTTTAAGCCCCCGAAGAAACCACGATGGAAGAAATGGAGGCTAAAGAACTAAAAAAAAAAAAGAAAGTGATTTGTAATGGGTGGTTAAACTTCTCCCTATATTTTCGCAACTCCTTTTAGCTTGTACAAATTTCGTAAAATTTTTTGAAATATATTTTGGATTTTTAGTTATTCTAATTTTACCCCGGAACTTTTTAGATTCAGTAAATGCTTCCTCTTTACGCAAATGATATACATCTTTAATATATCTAATTACTGATATATGTATCTGATAATACTACTGATATGGGTGTCTGATACACTTGCAATATATGTGATATACATCTGATATACTACTAATATGAGTGTCAGTGCAGTATGGATATGATAACATATGATATACTACTGATATGAGTATCTGATATATTACTGATATACTATTAATACGAGTATCTGATATACTACTGTTATAAAGAAAAATTTGTGCTTTTGAAAATTTTAAAAAATGGGTGATATATTTTGACATAAAATATTTTTGCCCCCGCTGTAATTTCCCTTTAATTTATGTATAGTTTTGCCATTTACTTTTTCGTGCTTCATTGGTTATGATCTGCCTTCTTCTTCAAATTAAGATATGACGATCTCGCCTCAAATTAGATCATATTTATTAGCTTTACGAGCTTCAAACATACCATATATTTTGATAAAGACAAACAACATGACAGGACCCGTCCAAAACACCTACTAATCCTAGAACAAGTCGTGCCGACCACAGACCCTGATTAGCTACGAAGTCCATGATCAACTTTCTTTCTTAACTTTGACCTGAACTTTGACTAACAAATTGTGACTAGAAGCATACTAAAATAATAATCTTTACAGAACAATCATTATTACATCCATTCTAAATATTCTTTTCTATCACAGGGTGCAGATAAATACTTTATACAAACAACCACATGCATACAGAATGTCATGCAACTTTTGAACTATTCTGGGTGGCAGAAGCTAAAATATCATCTCGTTGAAACTTAGAAAGTCAGAAACTCAGATACATCCTAGGGGAAAACATAAAATAAAGAGTGAGCTGGAAAACTCAGTGAGTGGTAAGTTAATAGGAAAATAATTTCGTCAAAACTTCTTACCGATAATTCAGTTCTTAAATCAAACTTCATAAACTGAAGTAACAACAATCTCATTTAAATTTTATAAAACTTGAGCAACTAAGAACTTAGTAAACTTTCTCATAAATGAACTTGTAACAAGGATTTACTTTCTAGGCAAACTGAAAAGGCAACGCTCCCAAGTCCAAGATGTGGAATCCGGATTCGGTCCTAATTGCCCCAGCATTCCCTGCGTCCCCTGCAACCTAGTTACGCCAACTTCTTAGTCTGCTCTAAAACACTTTCTGAAACATATAAAACATTCTTCTTTCAAACATAAAACAGATAGATAAAACTGAACGCCACACATATATTCATATTTTATTCTGGTCTACTGACATAGAGTAATCTCAATACACATAGTAGAATAATTCTCTCAACGCGCGGAGTTAAATTGTCCCAAAGACCTTCTATTTTTTGGTATACTATAGAAACAATTCTTATAGCATACGGGTAATCACCTTAATACAATAACATTGTGGTTTGAAAACTATTTTCAGTCTCATAAACTGTTCTAAAATTCTTTTCTTCTTCTTTCTAAGAATTTTTCTAACTTTCTCAAACCTTTCTTTCTAAGAACATTTCATGAAATTCTAAACTCATTTTCTAAATCTATTTCTAAATACCTTTCATAAGCTTAAAACATTTCTTTAAAATCATAAAGCATTTCTAAATTCTAAGAAACACTTCTAAATTATCAGACAAATGCATTTTCTTTCATTCTCAGCAGAAATGCTAAATTATACATAATATATATAATTTCTCAAAAATTTTGTAATACTATATAATAGAAAACGTTTAATAAAGTAACTACTCACAAATCCTTTAAACTGAGTCGTCCTCTACTCCAATTTCTGTCTGACCTGAAATTTACTAATCCAATATCAAATTAATTCATGCGTTATAATCTTGTTCCCGATATAAATCATATTATCTTCCAAATTATCCCATATATCAAATTTAATAATTCATTCTCTCTCTTGATTAAAAACCATCATTTATTCTTTTTCTTATCACCTTACACATGTGGGACCCACAAACACAATTCAATTTTTCTTCCTTTCAACTTCACAAAGCCCCCAATTTTCAACAATTTCATTTTCCTTCTCATTTTTTTTAAATCCACAATTCTTCTCTCTCTCTTCCAACATTAAACTTTCATCTTCTTCTTCTCTATACAAACCCACGAATTTTTCTCTCTTTCTCTACCCTTTCTCCTTCCTTGCACCCTTCTGTTTTCTTTCTTTTGCTCAACTAAGAATCCTTTTTCACTTGATTTCTGTTACATTTTCAATCCCTTAATGAAACCCTTAAGCTCGTCACTCATTACTTTTCATCTTCTTTGTCCAACAGTCCCAACAAATTCTCCCTCAAGTTTCTGCCATAGACCCAAAAATAAATCTTACCTTCTCTCTAAAATGGATTATTAGGGCCAAAAATCTATTTCTTTTAACTCTTCTAACCGAATTTTTGAATAAATAAAATGATTGAAGAACAAACACACAACTAAGTTTCAATTTTCCATTCATTCCAAATTTCTTTCACAAACTCCATCATCTCAAATATAACTACTTACCAATTTCACTTCTTCCTCGAAAATATCTTTAAAATCAGCCCAAAAACAAAATTGAATCTCCCGTTTTCCTATGTTTAATTCTTCTTCCTTCTCCTCTTTTTTTCTCTCTTTTCTTTTCTTTCCTTTCCTTCTTTCCTTTCCTTCTTTTCTTTCTTTTCTTTATTTTCTTTTTCATTTAAAGTCATCTGTTTTACACGTGCCTCAAAACCACAATTTTCTTTCTTTCTTTTTTTTTTGGTGGTAAAAGACCATATATAAACCAACTCAAGTAAAAAAAATTCAAATTTCTTCTCTCTCTCTCTCTTTTACAACTTAAACGACAAACATGTCCTTACACAACATTTTCTAATAATTTTACCGTTCCAAAGTGTCCATAGCATAAAGCTTGGAAAGACGTATCCAATGCATTTTGAATCATTCGAATCGGAGTTCAAACGAAAAGTTATGGTCAAAACAAGTTTGGGAATAAACATCATGTGGTAGGTGACGTGGATAGTCCCTTTTAAGGATCTCGCATTGAAAAGATTAGAGACTAAACAAAAGTTTATAATAGACATGAAATTACTCTTCTCATCACCAATTGGTTTTGAAATGGAACCCCATAAATATTTATATGATATTCCGAGGTTTACTCTTGGGAAGAAAATAGGATCAACGACCATTTTTGGTTGTTAGTGGCTATAGTTTATCAACATAAACAACATTTCGTATATTTTTGTTTTAATATGAATTTAGAAATTCATAAATTGACAATGGTTGAGTTTCACTAGTGATAAATCACACACTCAATTTTGGTTTATTCAATTTGCAAGACCCGATAAGCAGATCTGTGCATTGCTTCCAATATATTATGCATAATAATTTTGATGAATTATGTATGCATGGGATTCAGTTAGATTTATATTTTTTGACATGCATGAAAACTTCATAAATAGAAATTTTTAAGGTGCACTTTTATGGTGATTTGGTATGCATTTGGTTATGAAACTTGTGCACTTATTTTATAATGTGGTTGGTTATGTTGTTTTGTCAATATATATTTTATTTCAAAAAATTATGAATTCAAATTTTGGTAAATTAATTTTATGATTAATTAAAAGGTTATGTTAACATATAATTGAGTAATTGAAATTCAATGTCGCCAAAGTGACTTCTCTTAGGGAGATTATTCATGAAAGTGTTTAATGTTAAAGTGTTTGCATACTTTTGCAAATATTAGTCACCCCAAATGACGGTTAATATTTGGCATGAATTACAAACATTTTTGTGGTGATAAATGTACGACAATTATAAGGCTTTTGACATGTAAGTAATACATCGATCCAAAGATAGTTTATTATTTGACATACAATTATTGTTAATATTTGATTACTATGTCAATATGATTGCTTACAGCCAACATTGTATTGTCGAAAGATTTGGTTTCGATGTTGTGTTAGTTATCTTGAGAGATTAACCATTATTTGAATTTTATGACTATTATGGTTAATTGTTAAATCTGGACGATTAACTGATATGAGCATCATTGTATGTTCACATTTATTTTCTTAACCATTGATATTACTACAATTTCTGCTATTCTAAAAAAATATTTCTATTCTCAATGATTCAAATTTCAAAAATTGGAAAGTAAATATGATTGCATTTTTACGTTACATTAATCTAGACCTTGTATTTAGGATAGAACACCCCCCTTCTCCTTTGGTTGAGAGTTCTCTTAATGCAAGGAGTTTCTTTGAC